GATCTCATCAGAATCATTAGAAACGCGAAATAACAGCAGAGAAGTCGCGCCGTCTGCTGAAGCGCTCCTCTGCGTCGCTAAGGGATGCCGATCGACTAGGAATAGACAATTGAGTGATAACGATGTGGCCAGCACTATATCTCTCTGATTTCACGCGCTTCAATATCTGTCATATCCTAAGGAGCGTAGACTCGTGTGTCCAGCGGGCCAAGCAGATATTCGCGCAAACATCTCAGCGCCCCAGATCCAGTGCTTATATTGAAACCAGATCAAATAACGATGCCCATAGTGTCGCATCAATGCACCCTCCACCAATTTCTAAGCTCGAGGTAGTGTGCCGACGTCCGGACAAAAAGCTCTTCCCCATGCAAATCTAGAACAGATAGAGACCGAGATTTCCGCACACATGTCTGATATATGTACAGTGATTTCGAGCTGACGTGTGCTAGTGTGACATTATCTATAGTGCTGAGAGATGATCCTTTGCTGAATATGCGATGCTAAACACAAGTATACGCATGTGTGCAAACTACCTACGGATGCGCATTCATATCAACATCAGCTCTCACACAACCCAGCTATCGTCAACCCAGTCAACCACCACACTTACAGCCGCCACCCCAACACCCGCCCCCCACCATCCCCCCCAACTCCTTCAACCCACTTACCCCCTCTCCCTTTTCGCGTGATCTCCCCCCTCGCCCCCTCTCCTGCTTCTCTCTCCCCTGCGCTGGCCTTCTCCTAAAATAGTTGTGCTATTTATTGTTGTCCATCTCTGCATTTTTTGGTTTATATCTGTTATAAGTGCACCCCTTTCATCTCTTAGTTGCCTAGTTTGAAGTGTTTTTCTCATTCCTGTTAATTCTCTAATTCTTTTATGCATCTTAAAAAAGTCATATTTTTTCTCAATTTCTTCTAGTTCTTGGCACTGCTCATGTAACATTCTCTCCTTAGCTTCTTTTATTCTCTTTTTTATTAATCGATCAGTTTCATTATATTTAATTGGATTTTTTGTTTTGAATGATTTTCTTTCATTCATTAATAGTAGTATTTCTACAGTCATCCAATCTTTATGTTTTCTATTCTTTGGTTGGATAAGTAAAAACAATTAACTTTTATACTTCCTTTAAATTTATATCAGACAATTTTCTATTTCGTTCATTCGCTCTATTTCCAAACCTTCCCATTGAAAACACTATTGGTGACTATACAAAATGGATAGGAATCTTTTTTTTACAAACAATATATCAACTGTTAAAGTTAAATGACATAAAAGGAAAGACAATCGTAAATACTACATTAGTCTTACCATATAGCTTTCACACACCACTACTTGGAAAAGGCAGTTTAAATTTTCCGTTTGATACGTTACGTAATTTCCATAAAATCGATCTAATAGCTGAATTTCGACTACTTAAATAGAGAAGAGAAACAACGTTTTGCGTCAGTATGATTTTTTGTTGGGAGATGGATTGAAATAAAAATTTTACGGCTTCTTGATTATACCGACATTGAAACATCCAGTGGTTAAGGTCATCAAAACTGCCATCACATTCACATGTATCTGCTTCCGAAAGTTTTATTGTATAGAAGTATGCGCTCACTGTAGCATGACCAAAAAGGTATCTAACGTACATGATATAAATTTTCCGGGAGATGGAGCTTCTCTCATTTGGGGGAGTAGATGGAAGAGATGGATATACACTGCAGTATATATTTTTGTTACTGTTAGTAAATGATTGCCACCTTATTTCCCAAAGCGTAACATGTTTCTTCTCCCATTTAGGAAACTCGTTGCATTCTATACTCACTGAAATAGCATATTTAGCCAAATGATCTACTTTTTCATTGCCTGAAATATTAGAGTGACCTTTTACCCACACAAAGCTAACAATTCTTCTTAGAGAACCTAAGATCCTTAGCTTTTCAAGCGCATCTACAATTAGTTTGTTGGTATATATGTTTAAAGGTGTGTTTTAATGCGAGGACAGACTGTGAGTCATATAAAATTATATACCGTTCGAAATATACATACATACAGTTCAGTTTGATGTTAAAGCTGGCTATTCTTTCGATGTCCTGGCCTCCTACCATTAGGGTTCCGTTAGTATTATCGTTCTTACTTATTTTCATGAACTTTTTTTTATATAAAGGTTTCATATTCTTCACTGTACTTATATTGTATTAATAAATTAATAAATTTTATTACTCTTTTCTAAATTATCGACTATATTTAGGTATCATCGACATACCTAATGTTAATGTTGTCCATTCACCTTTATTTCTGCTGTTTTATCTAATTCAAAAGCTTTCAGTGCGCAAGCAGAATAGCTATAAATATAATAGGTAATATATTTGTAACATTGAACCTACCCCAACACACGTTTCATCTTATTTTACAAAGCATACTCAACCTTGATGTACATAGTTAGTAAATAATGATTGCTGTGTAGCATATACTAGTTTTTTGTGTATAATTTCATGTGAAATAAAAAAAACAGATATTCTTGCAGATAAAATATTGTTTTTGTCTAGATTGCATGATTTTAATATTTTTGTTTTCTATCGTTTTATTTATGAAAAAATGAAGAAAAGATAATTTTGAACAACAATTCTGTACATTGATAATGTCTTTAGGCGTTGCATGCAACTTAGATGCCTTGATTCGAGTATGTAAAACTAACAAAATGTTCTGTTTCTTTGGAGTTATCACGTATCACTAAATATTCTTTTTGATTTTTAGATGAAACGGATTGGAAATGGTTTGCTCTGATCCAGAAGAACGTTTGAATGTGCCATCACCTCCTGCTATACGTATATAACTACTTTAGATTTATTTTATAAAAAAAACCCATGGTTATGCTTAAAATCCAAAAAGTAGATGATATATTGTTTCAAAATTAAACTTTTGTATATTTTATCTATATGTATTTTGTATTAAAATAGTATATTGATACGTCTTATTAATTTATTATTATTATGGGATCCTATCATAGGCATGTTTACCGTGGGTATTTGGCACCCACATGCGATGTAGAAGATGTACCAAAATGATGTATTACTTTTCTAAAAATAAAACAAAATGGATAAAATGAATTCCTACGAACGACTATTCCGACCCAAACTCAATTTTCACCCCATTCACAATTGAAAGGTATAGGTCCATAAAGAGCTAAGTCACCAAATGTTTATTTCGTATACAACGAAGTATAAATTTTAAAATCAGTTATTGATGTTCCGAAAGAGGAATTTTTAGCCATAGAAGAGCAGATAATTCCAACAAAGGCGCGTTCATCTATAAACAATCTACTATAATCCGCAAAAAACCCCACAAATGGGGATATAAGGCGTTTGTTCTTAGTGATGTGCGAATTTTCCTACGATTATGAAATTTTTGTAGGAGGCCAAACCACTGTTGTACCCGATGGTTTTCCTGATTTAGGGGTAAGTTCCAATGTGGTTCTTCGGCTAACACAAACAGTACCAAGACGTAAATCACAAAATATTCTTTGATAATTGGTTTAACAGCGCCCCATTGCAAATTTCTAACGAAACATGATATGTTACCACTAGGAACAGTTAGAATACACAGAGTGCCAAACAGTAATATGCCAAAAGAGGCTGAATTAAAAAAAAAAAACGGCCGATGAGCTATGGTAGAGAAAGTCGCCACAATTGATGGTACAAAAATATCTGTTGTTACATGGTATGACAACAAATGAGTAAACATTTTATCAACATATGCCAAATATAAATCCTGAAGTAAAAATAGCAGTAAGTGACTCCACACTTCGCAAAGATGCTCGTTTGGTACTGCTTCAGCAATAAATTGATGCTAGTATGGCAGCTATAGGAATAGCTTCAACAAAGATGCTTTGTGAAAAGGAGGGAGGAAATAAAGAGTATATTAAACTACTTAGCGATGCCAGGTGCTTATTGACAAACATTCGTGATTCAGAGTTAGTATCGCGAAGAGAACTAATAGCCATTAATTAAATAAAGAAATGGCAGGGGTATTAAAAGATACACCAATCACTGAATCGCCTTTTGGTTTAAGTTGTGCACCTAGAATATTCACAAAGATATTAAAACCTATTGTAGGAATTCTAAGAGAAAAGGGGGATCCCTTAACAATATATTTGGATGATTTTCTGATTCTAGGGAAATCATATAAAGAGTGTGAACATAATGTAAAATTAATTGTAGAAATACTAACACATTTAGGTTTCTAATTAATAATACTAAAAGCAAAATTACTCCTACAAATGTGTGCACATATTTGGGGTTTACTTTTGACTCAAATAATTTGACAGTAACATTATCTAACAGCAAAAAATTGAAGATTCTAAAAACGCTTAATATTTTTTGTAACTACCGGAGTGTAAAACTAGAAAATTTAAAAAAAAATTAGGAACTTTTGTATTTGTTTGCCCGGCTATAAAATTTGATTTTTTACACACAAAAATTATTTGAACGTCATAAATATTTAACATTGAAACAATCATTTGGAAAAGACAAAAGATTTAAGAGGATCATGCAGAGCTTTATTACTGACTCATAAGAAACCTTTCATAATGCCACTCCACAAACCATTGGTTGATGGATCAAATTTATTCTACAACAGAGTGGCCTGGTATAAGTCAGTTTTAAGCACATAGCACACGCCATGCCGCAATATCTGCGGCAGCTAGGAAAAGAGTCAGTTTTGACACTATAAGTTGGCGGCAGGTGGGACGAAAATTTCTAAGAAACTTGCGAAATTTTACAATAAATAGGCCCTTAGTTTTTTAATAAAAAAATTGCAATACAATCCTAAATAGGTAAAAAGAACCTAATTTATGTTAAATACTATAATATTTGTAAGGATTTAGAATAATTATAGATTGAGAATGTAATCATAGATTTTTTTTATAGAAAATAAAAAAAAGTCCCATAGTAAGGGGGTTAATAGGAGCGCATGAAATGTAAGTTTATGTAAATAATCAAAAGACTTTTTCAATAATTTATTTTATGAATGTTTAACAAGCAAAATTGTAGAAAACGTTCTTACTATAGTACAATTCATTGAAAAATGTATGGTTAATTACTGACATCCTTAATACAGGGTGTTGTTGGGTTTGCATACGCAATATAAAGGATGTATCACTCTACAGTTTGGATTATGAACCAAAAAATTTTCAATTCCTTTTTGGGACACGCTAGTATATGTTAAATCTATTAAGTCTATATCTAAATTTTTGAGATAGTTCAAGGTATTATCACTAATTTTTTTATATCCACGTAATGATAGTCGCCTCAAAGGAATTTTCCACTTAATCTTCCATCGATCGTTATCTTCTCGAGGAAAATTTATACACCTTATTTGAACCCTAGAAAAAATAATTATATATTAGTTTTACAATAATAGCAATGCTAAAGTAGTACATCGGTAGGTCAACTTTGAAATTGGACATCGTAATCACAGAGGAGATTGTTTAGACGTTAGAGAATAATTTATGTCACAAATACATTTTTCAAACTACCCAAACGTGGTTTATATACTTGGAAGTCACCAGCAGATACTAAAGATATGATCATAAGAAATAAAGGGCCACGGGAAAGAACGATCAGACTCCATTTTTGTTCGGAATTTAGATATTGGCGCCATATTTCAGCTTTTCTTGGAAAGAACCCAAGCATGGTTTCGTTTGTACAATAACGATCATCGTACAGAAGATAATAAAGGGGAAAGATATAAGCCAACGGAGAAGAACGATCAGGTTCGTCGTGCTGACGGCTAATAACGATCAGATTCCGACGACCTTGTAACTTAACGTAGATTGTCGTTTGCATCTTTAGCATATTAGCGTCAGTTCTATTCTGTAATCGCTAAGCGAGCTGCTACTGTTTTGTAGTTTTCGTTAGTTTGTTTTTGAGAAAATTCATAATGTCAAGTGATCTTAGTGATAGTGATATATCTAATGGAAATAATCAGCCAGGAGATGTCAAAAAGCGGAGAAAAACGTCGTTTTAAGTTAACAATAATGAATTCACAACTGGGAAATTCCATAAACAAGGTTTACAACACTGTTTTATAGAATGATCCCTTGTTTATGTAATTTCACACCTCTAACACCGAATATTCATGATTCTCTTAAGATATATTCTTAGACTATACTCTCGTTAAGCCAATTACCTTGGTCCAGTCGGATTGATTTCTATATGTGGTCTTCCTGCTTCGGTGACGACAATAAGACCTTCCAACACATTATTACTATTTTTTTCACCTTCTGGAGCCCTAGCTTTTGAGGATGAGGGTCTGTTCTCTGCGTCACTATTTGCGGAAGACGTGCTTGGACTCGACGACGATACACCATTTGTATCTCTAGAAGTCGAGGGTTGATTTTCCCTAAAACAGAACCAATTGAATATTACTTTTATTAATAGGACAGTATAACAATGGATCAGAATGAAGACATGCAACACATGCATGAACACATAGCCAATTAGAACGTTTATACAAACAACTGTTTCTTGGAATATTTGAAAACATCCCAGATATGTGGGATAAATCCGAGATACCTGAAAGTAAGTATTTACCTTTCAATTTTTCTAGCGTTTTCAGTCTGTTCCTGCTCATTTTGACGCATGATTATACGATCCAATCTAAAAATATTGAAACATATTACATCACGTAGTTTTGAGGTTTTTTGTAATAAAATGAAGAATAATAGTACTACTTTTTTAATAAATATACAAAATAAATATAATAGAAGTCAATTTCCACTGTTTAGGCCGACGTTAGGCAGACCTTGAGCTTTTTATTAACAGACTTCACCGCAAGATGGTGCTATCGCTGTAGACAGAAGAGAGAAGGCACCAAGATCCCGAAGCAAACACATCTATATTACAATAACGATTACAATTTTCAACATAATATAGTGTTTTATATGTATACTGGGTGATTCATTAGTGTGATAAAGCTCAGTAGATCCGCTATAATAATTATAGCAATAAAAGTGGGAACTATAAAATCAACTGAAACCTTCAAATACTTAACATCAAAAGCAGGGAGTAACGAAGAAATACATTCTCGGATCTAGAATAATAGAAAGTATTTGGTTGTAAATAAACCTAAAATAACTTCTTCGGAAATTAGACATGCCTTACACCAAATAAAAAATAAAAAAAGCTCCTGGTGAGGATCGTATAAAGTCTGAAATGTTAAAAATGGCAGCAACATCGTTGCAGAGGTTGTGGAAGTTTTGTTGAATAAGTATCTAACAGAAAAAATAATAGCCAGTCTGTGGGAAAACGCCGAAATAATACTTTTACACAAGAAAGGAGACACTACTAATATTGAAAACTACAGACATATAAGTTTGTTGTCAAACTTATACAAATTGTTAACAAGAATAATTACCAACCGCATAACACAAAATCTTGATTTATGTCAACCGGTTGAACAGGCGGGATTTAGAAAAGGGTTTGGCACTAATGATCACTTACAAACCATCAGAACACTGGTAGAAAAAACCACAGGATATAATGTACCTCTACATATGGCATTTATTGACTCTCACAAGGCTTTCGATAGTATTGAAACTTGGTCCTTTTTGTCAGCCCTGAGGGATGCTCGAATAGACTCACGGTACACTACATTGTTAAAAACATTTATGAACAGTCCACATTCCACATCAAAATCAATGAAGACGAAAAAATCCGTCTTGGTAAAGGTATTAGACAAGGTGATACTATTTCACCAAAGCTTTTTACCTTAGCGTTGGAAAATATATTCAAAGAGCTCGACTGAGAGCAAAAAGGTCTAAACATTGATGGTGATATCAAGACAGATATCAAGGAACTGGAGCAAATGCTCAAGGAATTAAATCAGCAGTCAAATAAAATAGGTCTTAAAATGAACCTTCAGAAAACAAAAATAATGAGTAATTTACAAACTAATGTTGTTATTGACAACGTAAGTCTTGAAAATGTAGACCACTATATATATATTTTGGACATACCATTAAAATCAGCCAAGAAAACCAAACAGCCGAAATAAAATTATCAAAGCCCAAAGAACAATTATCTTATGTAGCTTTCGGCAAGTTAAGCTTTATTTTGAAGAATAAAGATATACCAATATGTCTAAAACGTAGAGTTTATGACAAATGTATTTTGCCTGTAACTACATATTGACTGAAAACCAAGGCCGTTACAAAGAAAACCTTAGAGCAGCTCAATACAACCCAAAGAGCGATGGAGAGGGCCATGCTAGGGATTAGTTTGAGAGACAGGATTCGAATTATCGACATTCGGGAAAGAACAAAGATTACTGATGTTGCAGAACATATAGCAAGGCTCAAGTGGCAATGGGTCGGACATGTTGGCCGAGATAATCCCGAAAAATGGACACAGAGATTAACAAACTGGAGACCAAGAGAGAACAGGCGAGTAGTAGGCAGACCACAGAAGAGGTGGGCAGATGATATCAAACAAGTCGCGAGCAAGCAGTAGATGAGAATTGCCAAAAGTAGAAATCAATGGAAGCAAATGGAAGGGGCCTATGTCCAACAGTGGGCGAATATAGGCCGAAGAAGAAGAAGATTGGGTTATACGGCGTCGAACTTTAGAAAATCAATCAAAAATTAAGGCAATGTAAATGGACTATTGGAGACAATGTTGCCGGCACACTACACTTAATAGGGTGAGGAACGTAGACATTAGCCAAAAGACTACATTGGTATAGACACCTGCAGAGAATGCCTGAAAATACATGGACAAAATAAATAGAAAAATCGACTAAGACCTCTACAAGAAAACTAGGTAAACCGAGACGGTCATGGCTTCTACAGAAAACGCTGGAAACTAAGATTCGAGAAATGGTGCCAGCTTAGAAGACTAACCTATTATATTAATAAAATTTAATAACAAAATTTTAGTCAACTTTGAGGTTCACATTACAAAATTGGAAATAAATGAAGTAAAAAAAAAGTATAAAAACGTTCATTGTAATATTTGCCATTTTTTAATTCTTATAACTGACGACGTACGTTTGGCTCACATGTTTTTGTTTAATTCCTATAATACGAATGATAACAATGTGCAGAGATCCAACAGATCTACTGTATATATTATGTCCTTAGATTCTATTTACCTGAACCATTTTTGGTCCTTCGAGCCCGATATTTCTTTATCGTAATAATCAGACTGAACATATTTACGGTTCGAGGAATTTGTTAATTCTCAGTGTAAACCCCAAATTTATGGATTGTCTTCCTTCAAAATTTACTAAACATGTTTTTAATATGTTCTTGGAAAGTCACACAATCAGAAAAATATAAATTTTATTTCATAATCCATTTTCCAAAACGCAATATGTTATCACAATTGTTTTTGTCACCACAGGGGAACAAATAGCGGTCTACCATACTTCTATTGCCTCCGGGTGCTCTGTAGAGGGCTTCGGAAACGTCAACGAACCCAACCTCTACCCAAGTCCATTTTCAGGATATGAACTTGTAAAGTTTTCTTCCGATGAGCTCGTCTTGAAAAAGACGAGCTATTTCTTACATGACTTATAAGTGAGAAAGTCGAAATAAACATCAGGTTGTAGTCTTCGGTGGCTTGCCTTGCCAAAAGCAAGATATTTCTTACATGACAAAGATATTAAGGTTGTCGAAATAAAATCACCAAATATTCAGTTAAATAATAATACTCAGCCACAGAGTATAGAAAGCTAAAAAGGAAGCAGAGACCCGAGAACACTAAGCTCTCGGAGAGCCCGTGAGGGACTGACTTGGTTGGCCTGAAAATCGCCTATTTTTATACACGCTGAAGTAGCGATAAATAGGGATTTCCAGGTCAGGGACCAATTGGAAAAATGAGGGGCGGGGCGATGCGTCTCGAGCGCGAACTAGTCGCGTCCGAAAACATTTTCCATAAGATATTGGAACAACTAAAATCCCACTGATAAACAGTTTTCACACCCTGTTCACATTTTTTAATAAACTAAGTAAGACTTACCCTCTACGTATGTTGCTCGTCATTATTTTATTTATCTTCGAACTAATATCATCGGCGCTTTCTATCAGATGATCGATCAACTGTGCTTGTGTCTCTGGTTGAAGAGCCTCAAACGGACCTGGGCTTCTCTTAGGCTTCTTGCTAGTTGTTGCTTCGGAATCGTCATCATTATCACTCTCCTCATGGGATAATTTATTGGAACCGCTACCGCTATCACTCTGCTCATGACTTCGTTTATTGGAACCGCTACCACTACCGCTCTGTTCATGGGTTCTTTTATTAGAGCTGTCACTATCGTAGCTCTGTTCGTGTGTTTGTTTGTTGGAATCGCTTTCAATATCGCTCCTTTCGTGGGTTCGTGTATTCGAATTGTTTTCATTGTCATTCTGCTCACGGGTAGGTTTATTCATATCGCTACTATTATCACACTGCTCGTGGGTTCGTATATTGCAATCGCTCTGGTTATGGGCTCGCTTGTAATGGTCGATGTCATCACTCTGATCATGGGTTCGTTTTTTGGAACTGCTTGCGTTGTTATTGTCCATCGAAGAATGTTGTACATATGGTCTAAAAGCATTATCATTCGATCTAAAACTATAAATTTCGGTTATTGTTAACGATATTGTCAAGTTCGAAAGTTAACCAAACAAAAATAAATTTTAGTGAAAAAAATATAGTTCCGGACCCGGGCCCGTTTTCACCCTTCCTTACGAGTACTAACAAGCTAATTTTTCGTGAGTAGTTTCATTTTGACAAGACGCTCAAATTATGCCATTGCAATAATTTGCAATTGTGGTAGCTAATAGGGGTAGCAGGGATGAAATATGTTGATTTGACGACTCAAAAATTTATTACTACCGGTTTTTTTTTAATCTCAAGATAATTATCCAAATTAGCCGAAAACATATTTGTCCTATAAAATGCAAGATTTTATCAACGAGTCCCCCCTTTCCAATATATGTATCATTAACGATACATACTTTTGTTTTCCGAAGTAATAAAATGATAAAAGAATATTTGCATGAAATATAATCTAAAACAAACATTTAGTGAAAAGACTTTTCACTAAATTCTCGAAATAACTACACTTATGTGCGAAATAAATGTAAAAGGCTAATATTTGCCAAAATGTTAAATGTATTGTTTAAGATACGCTGTAGTTATTGAAATTATCACATAATTTAGTAAATAGTTATAAAGAGCACACTTTAATCATTTATTCTCTTACCTCTGCTTCTTACGTTTAACTTTGACCTCTCTCTGTGGCTTGAAAACACGGATACGCCCTGGAAACGATTGATTTCTCGCTCCTTCGTTTGGAAGAGTCATTTCTTCGCGCGCTGAGGGTGTCCGATCATGCGTACTAGGTGTAAGCAGGTTATTGGTAGTGCTCACATAGCTATTGGCGTAGTGGCAGCAAGTTTCAGGTTCGTCGTCATCTTCGTCATCTTCCTTATCTGTACTGGAATCGGAATCCAAGTTTGCGTCTGTAGAATACAAAATTTATTATTTTTTATGTAATTTTATAATCATATGTAAACACGTAAAGCTATCTATCGCAAAAATATCGTTTGAAACAGTGATGACTCTCGAGTTGCACTCATACAGTCCTCATAGCGTCAAGACATACCGTCTCAGGACTAGCAACTTCAACGTGGAGTCATATGTCGCCATGTTACCTAATCCATCGGTAACTCTATAATCTTAAATTATTATAACGTATTTTTAAAACTAAATGTAATTAAACATCTGTTAACGGGTTTTTACCCATATATTTAATCTTGATGGCTACATTCATGTACTCCTAGACACTGATGATGGAACATGGTTTCCGAAAAAGTTATGTCTTTTTAACTTAGTCCGTTTGGGCCTTAAATATATACCTATTACAAAGGATTTTTGATTAAATTTTTAATACATGGTATACAGCCAACTACAGGAACGTAGATTCCTTGTGAACTTACCTAACTGCTGCTGATAAAAGTTCTTAAAATCTGTAGGTAATGTTATGAAATCTTGTAAATGTTTACCACAGATAAATCTATACTCCAACTGTCCCAAAGAGAAATGAATCAGATCTTTTTCGGGGATGTTGCCATCTTTATCTAAAATTAAAAAAAAAATAGATTTTAGCAGATTACTTTTTTAGAGTCCGGCAGCAGAATCATATTGAATCCATCAGGCAGACAAAATGGACAAAAATGACCAGCAAAACAAATTAAGCAAAGTTTAGTCTGAACTAGGGCTATGTAATAGTTGTTTTAATATGTTTTCGTTTATCCAAACTGTACAAGACAATTAAATTAATAATTTATTTCAATTAGTTTCCTATTGGCTAAATTATTAATAGTGAAAATGCCAAATTTGTAGCACTTGTACCTTTTGTCATTTTAAGCACATGTTAAATCGAAAGTTGGTATAGAAATCGTTGATATGTTCACTTACCCATTATATTTATCCCTTCTCTGAACCCTTCCCCTCCACAAATGCATTCTGGATAGGGGTCACGATATAGTACACTATCAAAAATTTCTTCTACTTCGTTTTTAGGCTTAGCAGTGGTCGAAAGATAGTCTCGTAAATGTATATCGGTTATACTCATGTCATCTCCCTCTCGTTTCTCAATTTTCTTTATATAGTCGAAAACGTTTTCGTTGTAATCCACTTTTGCAGATGCGAAACTTTGAAAATATAATCTTTGAAGATTTTGTTTTGAATAAAACGTTCGTAAGAGCTCACCACCAATACCTAAAAAAAGAGTTTAAAAGCTAGTTACTTTTTTCCTTTGCAATAAAAAAAAAGCATACTGTAATGGTTTTTCAGAAACTCTTTCTAAAAAAAGTCGTTACAATTGGTGTCAGAAGTGGAATGTTTTAAAGTAATAAATAGTCTATGATTAGAAATTAGAAGAAAAAGTTGGTGCTATAGAAGAAGGAAATTGATTTGTTTTACAATCAATTTTATCAAAATACATTTGCGCCTTTAATGTCCACATCAGTTATGGCAAATCTCACCAAAATATGAAAATGCACTAACATTACAAAAACAAAGAACCACGCCTAGTCCAAGCATTAGTTTTTCTTTGTCCAAAAATTCATTTAAATTAGTATCACCCTTAGATGTTCTGATATTTCTCTGTATAAAAAAGCATCCCCTAATTCCGATGTCCATTGTATTGATTACTGCTTAAATTCCATCCAAGGCCAGTATAATAGGTGTGAACAATTAGTTATAAATACAGAATGATGTTATAAAAAATTTGATATCTATCCAAAAAATATGAGTATTTTTTTTTAATTCTGAAAAAGAAAAATGCAAGCAAAGTCTTACCTGTAAACCTGCAATCAAAAACTTTCAGCTTTTTACAACCCAGTTTTGCGACATTCAGGTATGGAACCATATTCACATGTACTTGTGGACATTTTACTATGGAAATGATTTCCAAATCCTCATATTTGGCCACAGAGAGAAGGAAACTGCAAGTAACCCATGAGCAATCATCTAAAATTAGTACCTACAACAATATACAAAAATATTAACAAAAAGGACTTTGACCAAAATGCATTCTTACCTTTAATTTTGGCATATTCCTTACAGTGTGTTGAAAAAAGTAGGTGGAATTCTTCACATATGTTCTTCTCAGACTTAATTCCTCTAATCCAGAAGGAAAATCCTTAAGTGAAATCTAAAATTTGCAAAAAAAAACAAGTAATCAGAATATTTTTTTAGTTCTAATTATGTGTGTAAACTATTTATCAAAATTAAATGTTAAAACATTGAAAACTATTGTTTTATAACAAATTTTCAGAATATATCCTCTGTCCATCTAATTAGTGGTTTCTTCTACTAGCTTCACTCCATTCGAATAGCCTTTAAGTTCATATGCCATAGTTGGGTAGCTCTAAATTTTGTGAGTGTTAATATTTCAGTTCCTATATTATAACAAGATGCATATATAGATTGTATATCTAGTTTTAAGGTTCATAGTGATTTCAATATTAAATATGTCCTACAGTTTGTCATTTACAGCCCTACCAACCCCATTCTCCTTTGCATTAGTTCCCTAGTGGATAGATACCTCTTTGAGATTCCAGCTCAGGAATAGCAACTTAGTGCATATATTTTTCCAGTTATCTTACTCTAGGGATAACTATGTCTGAACTTAAATCACTCTCAACCTTATCTTTTTTCCCTTTATCTCTTACCCAATCTATCAAGACACACTAGTCAAACATGGCTTTTTAAACATAACCATTCAAGTTACATAAGAATCGCAATTTAAAAACATTCCGTCACTGTCATGTCAAATAATAAATATAAGATTCTTTATAGCATAATCAAATTGTACCCCAGGCACAGTTGTATATGATGTAGTCATATGTCTTGAAAAGTATGACTTCCTTGTAGTTAGTCAGTGTACAATTCAGGGAAATGTAGCACCAACATTTGATGAGACAATATGAGGTTGTCTTCAGATGCTACCTTAGAAACTGTGTCTTATATTATTGAAGTAGCACTGTACTGTCAGTACCACTACAAAGCAGTATCTTCCTAGTGTGGCAAAAAAAATATAAACAGTACATTCAAGTGAGTGATATAAAACATTGGACAGAGGCAAAAACTGAGATTATCAGATAAGCTAGTAAAGACCAAATTCCAGGCAGTTGCCAGAAAAAAAATGTCCCGAAAATAAAAAGAACAATTTTGGTAGAAAGATCAGTTGGTATATCATTAAGTGATTTGGTTGAGTTTACTGAAAGTACAAGCTGAATATAGCCACAAATGTCAACCAAGAATTAAAATATTTCAGTTTGGCAGTGTTGGGATGTTTTTAGAATGCATATGTTGTATGCTGCAAATATAAACAGAGAAAGCTTTTAAAAAGTACATATCGATTGTACTATTTTACGAATTCTGCAATTTATATGAGACAGTAACGAGTAAATATTTGTCTCCCTCGAGATTTGCAAACATCTTTTGTAATCTGACAACTGCTGTCTTGACAATTGCAAAATCTATTCCCTAATGTATCAAAGGGTGATTGCCAAAAAAAAATTTTAATAATTAACTGCAATTAATCTCCAAAGAAACAAATATTTACTCATTCTTGTTCTATATAAATTAAAAATTTCAGAATTCATACCATAATATAAACAAAATGTACTTTTCTAAAACTTTAGCTTTTTATATTTGAAGCATACAGCATCTACATTATAAAAACATGCCAACACTGCTAAACTGAAATTTTTTGTTCCATGTTTGACATTTGCGAATATTGTAGCTTATACTTTCGAAGCTTGTACTTTCGGTAAACTCAACCAGTGATTCAAATGCATATGTCCATTTAACACTACATGACAAAATGGACAGTGGCGATTATAGCACAGAAGATGAAACAAGGAAAACAGGAAGTGATTCGGAATGTATCAGAAGTAAAAATAAATACATTGATCATCTGAAAATGATAGTAAACTGGAAAAAATACTGGAGAGTTTAAATATGCTAACAACAGATATAAGAGAACTAGGGGAAGAGCATAGAGAGTATTAGAATTGAAATACAGGAATTCATGAACGAACTAAAAATAAATAAAATTGTTTGATTTCTTAACATTTTTTTTATATCCATTTTGTTAAAAAAACAATGTCATTTCAACCCAAAATTTGATTTTCTACAAAGTCTTGTATAAAATATTTTTTTAAAATGCATGGTTTTTGAGTCATAGCATTTTAAGTTATAGCCAAACAACCGAAAAGTAGACAAATTTACAAAAAGCCTATAAACTCCCAATGTGGTTTGTTTACAGGAATACAAATATATAAGATTAAATAAATAATCAAAAATTGTATGCATAGCATAAAATGCACATGTATACAGATGAATAATTACTTAATTTAATATCATTCTAGACAGCATGTTGTCCATCTGAGCAAATTAAATATTTTATTAATTTGATAATTACCTTAGATCCATTTAACTTAATGTTTTCCAGCGCCAAAACTCTCAGGTTATCAAAAGGTTTAATATTAATAAAAAAATTATCTGGTAAGTCTTTTATACACAGATTTCCCCTTAAATACAAATGTGTAGTTTTCTTATGTACTCTATTGGTACAATAATGAATTTTATCACAAACATTTGGGTTATCCCTTGCATCTACGTATCTCCAGAGTAAAGGATCCAAAATAAATTCCTCCAAATAATTACAAGTCCTGAAAAGATTTACAAATACATAGAAGAAAAATTATAGCAAAAAGTTTGAATAAAGTATATTATAATAATAAATAAAAGATATCTAAGGTATTAGTGCATTTCATAAAGTTAGTCAAACACATCAAGGAAGTAGGATTTCTAAAAATATGTAGTTAGCATCTAGAGTGCATTGTTTAGTTATACTTTTCATTTGCATATATAGTGAAATTACATCTTGTAGATCCTAATTGAACATTAAGATCCTTATTGGATATTAAAATTACGTTTTTGTTTATTCAACCAATAATCAATGTCTCTGGAATATAGCATTTTGAAGATTGCAGCAAGTAGGATAATCATAGACTACTCGCAAGTTTTTATATATTATTAAATGTCTACAGATGATACACAAATTTAAACATAATAAATTCTTTGATCTACATACCTGCTTAAATGATAAAGAGAAGTTGCATTTAAATAAGAAAATAATATTCTTAATACATCATGGGGTAATTCTAATAATTTACAGGGTCCGTCATAATATTCTCCCTCTACAACCATCTTTACAATTTCATAATAATTATTTAGAAGTCAAATATCTAGCTTTTGTAGTTTCTTATTATTAGCTAAATATTGCAAATAATATTTACTATTTGTTTACACCTGTTTTTAGATAAGTTGTTGACGTATGACAACTGACTTTCTGACAGTAAAATTCGATCGTTTAGTAAAATATTTGAGTAATCTTCTTTTTGATGGTTTGTTGTTTTGTTAATCAGATTTTCAGTACATCAACAGATCAACAGTCACCCTGTAAGCGTTAATAATAAAATATACAACTGAAAGACTCAAAATCGTTACGATCCAAACTTCTTGTTTTTTTTTTTAATTTGACGTATAAAACTCTATGATCTCATTTTATATAAAAATATATTTTTTTCATAATTATTGGATAATTATTATATAAAATTTTAAATTTGCTTATTCACTAATTTATAGTTTAAACCATCCATGTCAGTTATTAAATTTATTAGACGGCTTTGACTGAACAAACTGGAAAATGCCATAAAATATTGTAAATTGGTCTCCGAATCAACAAAGATAAAACAAAATATATGGCTAAAAGACAGAACGACGAAACATAATAAGGCAGAATGTGACAATTAATGACGTTATATTAAACGTCATTGGTGACAATCATAGAATACACATCCTTTTTTCTGTGGTTAGAATGGATACAACTTCAAAAGCATCATCGATATTATTTTATTTTAAAATATATTGTTCCATATTATATCTCAAGGATCTATTACGGTTGATGAATTTTGTTTCACACATCGATATAATAATTAAATTTTAGTATCGATGGTTCTAACGAATACTAATACTTAGGCAACCAATTATATATGCTACATTTGTGACATCTAGGGGGTAATGTCTAAAACTAAGAAGTTAATCTAGTTCCAAATAAAAGAAATCAAAATACTCTCTTGAGTTTTATACTAATTTAGTCATAAATGTATAGATGTCGCAACGTAATTATAAAATTTGTGACAAAAATATTCTTTAAAGTAAAATTAGAATATAAATAATTTAAGATACAACGCTAATACAGTACATATTTGTTTATAAGTAATACTACTACTACTACTACTTTTTGAAACTCGAACACTACTATACACTATACATGTCCTAACATGTTATAGACACATACCACTTCCTAGCAGCTATACACTAATTTAGCAATGCATTAATGTTACTCAAGTTTTGAAAAAATTAAACTAGCGCTCTTACCAAATTTACCAGAAACGCTAACGCCAAAACTACTAGTATTATTATTTATCTTATAATTCGAAAAATTATTTGTTAAATAATATACTAAATGTGTTTTATACTAAATTTTATTTATTACATGTGATCACTAGAATCTGTGAACGATTTCTGCATTATACTATAAATATTTTTGGTGTGTGTAGTTGATTCACTAAGCTTGGGAGCATTTAAGTCGTTAAAGAAAACATAAAAATTTCTTTATACTAATCTGTGAGTCGTGATCGATGCATTGAGCTTGGAAATATTTTGACTCATTGTGGAAACACAATATAAAATTTCATACCACTCATTATAGCTGAAATAAACTTACTGTTACAGACTAATTTAATTACAAGTTACACCCAATATTGGATAAGAACACGTGTAATTGGTTGTATAAAAAAATATATACTAGCTTCCAGTAGAAATAGAAATTTAACCAAGAATACAAAATTAATTAATAAAACTAGAGAGTTGGTACTAAGTTCAGTCAATTGAGCATACACGAGAAATTAGTTTCCAATATAGTTGTTAATTAAAGTTTCTGTAGTAAATGAATATCTATATTTTTATAATTATTCACTTTGGAATTTATGTCCACCCGTCTTCTTAGAAATGATTCATCTTTTAAATTTTCCCCTTCAAATACTTACTTTACTTTATTGTGTCCGGACATTGTTACTCATAAAATTTCGGCCCAGTCTCGGGCTACGTCGGTTCCATCTTTGATGGCGAGCCACAAATCTTCGAGGGTACATCGATGAGGACAGTTTCTGCATGTAAGATGTTCCATATTCTGTGTTTCTCCACAGTCACAGTTCACATCATCTTGGTCTATTTTCCCTGCTTTTGCCATGTTTGATTTTACTGTAGCGACCCCCGTTATTATATCCTATTCATAGTTTTCCACGTTTTAAAGTCTAGGGACTGGTCAGTCCATTGAACTTGGGGAAGAGGAAAATACTCAGGTGGTTCATCCTGCACTGTTCCAAGGAAGCTCTTCCTAGATTTTAGTCGCTTTCGTGGTGTTAGAGCTTTGTATAGGGCATGCCGCTCGTCCGCGATCTGTTTAATTTTCTCTATGTGCTCTGCAACGCCTCTGCGTGTTGAGGGTTCTGCAAAACACACTGCTTTATATAGATTTGAAAGTGACGTTGGTTTCATGCACCCCGTTACTATCCTGCATGTCTCATTTAGCGCAGTATCAACTTGTTTGGTGTGGACAGATCTGCTCCAAACGGGGCACGCATATTCAGCAGTTGAGAAACACAGTGCCTGTGCCATTGTTCTTAAAACGCCAGGACGTGCGCCTCATTTACTTCCCGTTAGCTTTCTGAGTATGCTGTTCCCAGTTGTTACTTTCCCTCTCGTTTTTGTGCAATGTTGTCTGTAGGTGAGGGACCGGTTCAGAGTTACTCCAAGATATATAGGTGGTTTGTGTGTTCTAATATATTACTGTTCCACACAATTTGGAGTTTTTGCTTGGCTTTCTTTGCACGAAGGTTGAAAGTGGACTTGGGTTTTAGAGGGATTGGGTCTCAAAGAATTCTGCAGGTAGTACGCTGTCATTGTTTTTAAGGCAGTTTCGAGTTTCTCCTCCACTTAGCATTGGCACTAAAACACTTCCTTGTGGGAGGCCATTTTTTTGAACTCTCCACCTACTTACTTTACCCTCCAGTATAACTAAAAAACTTCTATTTTGCAGTAATAAATATACGACCTTTCCCAGATAGTGGTCATTGAGAGTGTCGTATAATCCGCGGAGCAATGTTTTGTGCCTTACTGTGTCATAGTCTGCTGTCAGATCTACGAAAGCTGCCCCTGTTACAAGTTTTTCTTCAAAGCCCTCTTCAATGTGTTCTGTTAGTGCGAGGACTTGACCGGTGCAAGATTTGACGGGTCTGAATCCTCCTTGTTGTTGGATGAAGTGCTTCACCTTCGTCCCCTTCAAATGGAATCGAATCCGTATCTGTTTTATGGAAGAAATCCTTACCCCTACTTACCGAGGTTTTACATAGAGGTTCTATTTACAGAAAAAAAAAACAAATGTAAAAAATATTAGCTCCGTATATTAATATTTATCCACAATTTTAAAAACAACGTTCAAAAATATAATACTATACAAAATATTTTTTTTCTCTAAAAACAATTTTTTAAAACAGTTCAGTAATCTTATCCTTCTGTAATAACACTTTAGCAAGTTGAGCTTCACTTCCTAAAAACAAATTTCTTTTTTCGAGGTTCTTTTCTTCGTGATATTTGATTTTAAGGTTCATTTCCGTTGCTCTCATACAATGTAGCTTTTCGTGAAATTTAACGAACATTTCAAAAACGTTTCCAATATTTTTATGATCTTCGTCAAGAATCTTTGTAATATCGTTGTCGATTCTTATTAATGGGATAATATGTTGATGCTTTTTCCTGGCTAAAATTTAAAAAAAAAAACTAGATACAATAATAAATTTCATAACGGTAATGTCAACTTTTTGATGAAATAATTTGTATATAGTATTTTTCATATAAAAATGCGTGTACGTCACATATAAAGTGACGTCATTTATATTTAAAATTTCCAGAACGTCAACCTTAGATTTAAAATTTTCCTAACACAGCTAATAATACGAAACCCATACGGAACTGCTCGATCTTTCATAGGTGTCAACATGGTATAATAATCAGAAAAATGTAGTCATCATTCTATTGGGAATTTTATAATTATATTGATCAAATAACCAAAAACATTTGTTATTATTAATAATATAAATTTTATGAAATAACTCTTTAAGTCTAATATTCCACAAAATAATAATTTTGATTAAATATATTAGACAATTGTACGCAACTGATACGGGAATACTTCAAATTTTTTTACAGTTCAGCGTGTGGCAAAATTATTTAAAGTGTTGCCGATTTTTTAGATCAAGAATTTTGTTTATGTTTTGATTTCTTACCCAATTTGATCATAATATATTATATATTAATAAATTGTATTTATAAATACATATTAAATTTAGATTATTAGCTTTAAAATTTTTTTTTAAATTTAACTAATTATTGTTGTGTATTGTGATTGTGCTATGCCAAAACAACTAAATAGTCTGTAGAAAGCTGATAAAGCTTTCATATAAGATCGATTATCTTGAACAAGAAATAATGGGGGGACGTTTTTACTATTAATGCTCTAAAAGAGGTAAGTTTAAAATTTAGAATATATAATTTTGTATTATACTTAAAATGTTTTCTTATTTATGTTAGTGTGTTGCAGTAATCTTAAAACTAAGTGTATTTACTGTTAATATAATAGTTTGACAAATAGCTGACATTTTAAAAATTCCTCAATTAATAACTATTCTGATGTTTTGGCAACGCTGTGGGGTTCTGACGTCGTAAATCTTGAATGACGTCCACGCATTTTTATATGAAAAATACTATATAAAACTATGATCAATGTTATATTGATCTGATTGATAGTCTTCCTTCTGCAGCAGATATGATCAAAAGTGATGTTCCTCGAGCATATATGCGCTATTTGCAGCCATCGTGTCAACAATGAAAGCTTTCTAATCGTATATTAAAACTATTACGGATCTTCTTCTTCTTCTTGTTGTTCAGCCTTAGGTAATCCAACTTTGGACACAGGCTTCCCCCAAATCAATCCAGTGTTTTCAATTTTGCGCCACTTGCTTCCAGTTGTGTCCTCCGATCTTCTTAATGTCATCAGCCCATCTCATTTTTGGTCTTCATCTGCTTCTCTTTCCTAACCATGGTTTCCATTGTTGTATTTCGTGGTTCCATCTTTTATCCTTTAGTCGGGCATTGTATCATGCGAAGCTCCATTTTAATTTAGCAGTATGTTATCCTGCGTCTTTTACTTTGGTTTTGCTTCTAATCCATTTGTTTGTTTTTTGTCTACAAGTCTCACCCCGAGCATTGATCTTTCCATTGCTCTTTGTGCTTTTACTATTTTATTCATATTAGACTTGGTGAGTGTCCACGTCTATGAACCATACGTGAGTATAGGGAGGATACACTGATCGTAAATTCTGGTTTACAAATATTGTTCTATTTTAGTGCTTTTCAAGATTCAACTCAGTTTTCCAAATCCTGCCCATGCTAACCTTATTCTTCTGGTAATTTCAACAGTTTGATTCTCTTTCATTTGATTCAGATGACGGCTCAAGATGAAGAAGATCTGTGCTATATGCTCCGAAAATTAGAAAAGGAATACATAAAAAATGGACTGGAAATAAACCTAGAAAAGACTGAATATTTAACAACAGAGCAAGAACCAGTGAGAAACTTAGAAATGGACGATGATAGGGAAATTAACGGCACTGAAAAATTCAAATATTTAGGATTCATACTCTCAAAAAATGGAACCACCGAGCAAGAGATAACCAGCAGATTAGCACAGACATGAACATGTATTAAACAAATGAACGGGGTACTGTGGGATAGACAGATTACCAGAAATACAAAGAAGAGAATTTATAACACCTTGGTACGCAGTATAATGACCTATGGAGCAAAGAATTGGGTCATAAATAAACGAAACAGGTCCAAAATCACAGCAACTGAATGGAGTTCATGAGAAGAAGCCGCAGGGTGACAAAAATAGATCGCATCAGAAATGAGGACATATGGCAGTAGAACAAGACATACTCAGCTACATCGACGAAAAACGTTAATTTGGTATGGACATGTGAGAAAAACAGGTCATACAAGGTGGATAGCAGAGATTTCGGATTGGAGCCCAATAGGAAGGAGGAAAAGAGGTAGACCCCGAAGATCATGGAGGGATAAAGTGGACGAAGCCACTTACGCTTACTATTTCTAAATTTATGTCGTTCTACGTTATTTATCTAATGTTCGGTGTATTTGTTATTATTTTTGTTTTTTCCAAGTTCATCTTAAGACCTACTTTTTCTGAAGCTTGAAATAGTTGCGTCATCGTGGTCTGTAGTTCTTCGAAACTTGTAGCGAATATTACAATGTCATCAGCGTATCTTAGATGACTCAGTTTTCTTCCATTAACATTCGTTCCTTTATCTACCCAATTAATGTCTTTGAACACGTCTTCTAGTCCAACTGGAATGGCTTTGGTGAGATAACATCTCCGTGGCGAACTCCTTTGTTGATTGGTATAGCTTTGGTTTTCGCATCTATTTGTATTTTCATTGTAGCTTATTTGTAAATATTATGTATGAGCATTCTGTATCGGGAGTCTATCCTGCAATTGATCATAGCTCTCTCTTTGTCCCAAGTTCTATGGAGTCGAATGCCTTTTCAGAATCAACGAAGCCAATGTATAAGTTCAAGTGATATTCATTGGCTTTCTCTACTAGCGTTCTGACTGTAAGAAGATGATCTGCTGTACTGTAACCCTTTCAGAATCCTGCCTGCTCTACCGGTTGATAGCTATCGAGCTTCGACGTTAACCTGTTAGCCTGTTAGTTATTACTCTCATAAACAGTTTGTACATTTGGGACAGCAGGGAGATTGGCCTATCGTTCTTCAGATCTTCTTTGTCTCCCTTTTTGAAGAGAAGTATTGTCAAACTTTCATTCCAATCATCTGGGACTTAACCTCTGTGAAGACATTCGTTGAAAAAAATTGTCAATTCTTCGAGAATAATTTCACTCCCCTCGTTTAACATTTCTACAAGTATTCCATCTGGACCCGGAGCCTTATTGTTCTTCAGTTACGGATCGGATAGGCAAAATCATATCCCAAAGACCGGCCAAGGATTGAAGAGAACTGGCAAATCAGATAATTTTCAGCATTCCTGTAGTTATGGTTCAGTGTATTTTGGAAAACAAAACGTAGTGTAAATACTCATATGACACCTATGACAATACGCCTCGTAAAAAATGGTCTGTAGCCGTGTACTTCATAACATCGAGTCGACAAGCGTGGACCCTTCTAAGCAAACGTGGAGACAGCGATAAATCTGAATGTCAAACAACTGCTATAATCCCCAACTCGCAAGTTGCTTTACGCATTGCCTTAATATATAGGCAACAAATCGATCGCAACAACGCGAATATGCTTAAGAAAGAACTGAAGTGCCTCAAAATAAAATAATGTGGTGAAATACTGCTTACTGCAGAAGTACACTACTATAATGAGAAATATAGTAAAGAAGGAAAAAACCTACAAACAGTTGAATTTTTTAAATTAAAAACTTTAAAATATTTGTAATTAAATACTTTATACTAAACACAACACTTACCAAATACGTAATCTTTGCCATAGAAAGATATGTATTTATACTCCTCTCGGTCAAAATGCCCAGATATTTTGTTAACATCGAAGGTAAAAATTTGTGACACCTTTGGATTATATTGTCGAAACGGTACGGGGCTGAATATTTGAAAACCTTGAATTGTATTCATTCTAACCTAAAAAGGAACACAAGTTTGATTTTCCTCCATTAACATATATTAAAACTAGTTTATACTCAGTCAAAAGTGATCAGTAAATTTAATAATTAATTTTGTGCTATGTTGGGGAAGTTTTGAGTTTGAATGGAAGTTACTAGACGTTACTATACAACTAAGCATACAGACATACATATACAACCTATATTTTGTCTTTTTAGTATTCAATGATAATGCGAATTTTTTATTTAACTTTGTAAATCTTTCCATAATCATTTGTTAGTTATCCATAAGTTTTGTCCATTTACTTTGATTTCGTATACCTGTCTATCTCACCTAATGGTGGTTGATAAATTTTTCTAAATAATAGAAGTGACAGTATACCTTCTTGTACTACGCCTCTCTTGATATTGATAATAATTGGTTACAAATGATCAATTATCAGTTAGTTTCTGATCTAACTTAATAAACAGCATATACTTAAATCTAAGGGCTTACCCTATGGCTTACTCTTATTTCATCTATCAACTAATGCACTACAACTAACATGCAATAACAAGACAGCACTATACTCTGCTTTTTACACTAAACTGTTATACATTTACACTAACTCAAATAGTTTTATCCTTATGACTCTTCTCTTTGATTCAGTGATGTCAAGAAGCTCAATTGCCTCGACATTCACATGACTATGCAGCCTCTACTCGTGACTTACTGCTGTTTTCTTGATTACTTCGGTTACAGTTTCCATACCCAGGCCCTGATGGAGGTTGCTGTTATGGATATACCAAGGAGCATCAACAATATTCCTCAGTACTTTGTTTTGAAACCTTTTGGTACAGCCCCAGAGCGTGCACCCATATACCCATACTGGCCTCGGTACTTGCTTATAAATGGATAATTTATTATGAATGGAGAATGTTGAATTTTTTCCAATCAGCCAATATAATTTCTTATATCTAATATCAAGGCCCCCTCTTTTCTTTTTGACATGGACTTTTCAGCGCAGCCTCGCATCTAGGGTGATGTCCAAGTATTTTGCTAATGTGGCATAAGGAACTTGGGTATAATTTATTCTAACTGGGAAATTGTCTTATTTGTATATAGAATTTTTTTTATTTGTATAGTTAATGTTTGCAGATTTAGTCTCGTCTAATTTTATTCGCCATTTTCTGGTCCAGGTATGTAACTTATCAGTCGCTTCTTCACTAGTGTCTCCTATCGCTAGTATGGCTGTATCATCCGCGAAGGTGGCAATAGTATTTTGTTCTAGCTCTGGAATGACACACGTATACAATAGGTACAGGACCGGACCTAATACACTCCCTTGCGGCACGCCAACTTTGATCTCCCTAAAGTCGGTGTACACTTCTTCTTGTTTTACTCTGAAATATCTATTCGCAATGTATGATTCTAAGATTTCTGAATACTGTTTAAGCATGAACGTTCTTAGTTTATAGTTTAAATTCTCATGTCAGACTTTATCAAACGCCTGTGCTACGTCCAAGAAGATTGTAGATCAGACTTTCTTTTCTTCTAATGTTTTTTTTATTATATTCGTTAGTCTGTGAACTTGATCTATAGTGGAATGTCTATTTCTGAAACCAAATTGATGATTTGGTTTAAGATTTTTTCTTTCTATTATTGGTTTTAATCTTTTCAATAGAAGTTTTTCAAACAGTTTTGACATCACCGGAAGAAGTGATATTGGTGGATAGGATGACCCTTCATTAGGAGGTTAACCTGTTTTGGCGATCATAATGACTTCGGCTACTTTCCAGAATCTGGGAACATATCTCAATCTAAAAGCAGCATTTATTAGGTATGTCAACTAAACTATGGCTTTCCTTGGCAGACTTTTTAAGAGTTCTCCTGTTATGAGATCATATCCTGGATTTTTCTTAGGGTTTATATTCTCTTTTATCTCTGTTGATACTTCCTAAATGATGTCAACGTTATTTTTTCTTCGGTTTGGAATGGTTCTTCCCATCTCAGTTCTTCACCATCATTGTCGTTGGGTTTGAACGTGCTTTCTAAATGATCTGCAAATCGTTCTGCTTTCTGTTCGTTACTTCTAGCCCAGTTGCCGTTTTTCAACTTGATAGGAGGAGAATGAATAATTGGTCTTCATTATTTTTGTTGCCTTCCCTTTTTAGTTTTTGTGTAGAATTATTTAGACTAGTTTTTTCTCCTGGAGATCTGTATTGCTGCCATTTTTTTCTTAATTTCCTTTTTTCTACTATGAGCTCCATGATTTATTTTGGATAGTAGTTCCCTTTTATTCTAGAAGTTATTGTGGGAATATTTTCCCAAGCTACCTATTGGATATTTTTTTTATAAAAACTTCTAATTCGTTATCAAGTTGCCTAGTGTTTCTCAATGACACAGCAAGATTAATTTTGTGTTCAAGGTCTATTTTGAAGGTCTCTCAATCAGTTTTTTTATTAGTTAATATTCAATATATAGTCAATATCTCTATGAATGTGTATAGATATTGCTTGATTTTAATACAATCTATTTATAAATATCGGATCACAATGATTCGTCCACATTATTCTAGTATTTTCATGCGTTTTCACTTTTTTAGTGTCAAACGTTATCTGACAGTCAATTTAGCATATACAAATGTATTTGATTTTATACTAAAATTGTAACTCCACTTTTGACAATAATTTGCCATGGTTGCGAAACATATAAATATGTAAATGACAACAGTGTTAGTGTTCCGTGTGCGTAAAAGACATATGCGGTATCAAAATATCCCCCGAACTGCAGGAACAGCCGCCTACAAAAACAAGGATTGAATCCACGTATAATGTATGTAGGGCTCTTCGATCTATCAAAGATTTGTCCCGTTTTTAACATAAGAGGAATTGTAAATTTGTAGTATCCACAAAAATTCCTTTTGTGTAAACCAACAAGTGTATATAAGTTTTCCCATGCGTTTTAGTAACTTAAATGGACAATAGTGCACCTACACATTCTCAATTGTATCCAGCACTTTATGGTTAATCCTTTCTAAATTCTTTTACTATCAATCGTACCCTGCCTAATAAGCTGAAGCACTGGATATTTTGTAAATAGTTATGTTAGTATATCTACCTACTCATTCTCATGAGTCACTCATTTTCGAGCCCAATTCTGGACCCTCTCTTTTTGTCCATTTGATTCCCACGAGTTCGGACAAAATATTGTCAGGCTGATAAGTACGCCCAAATATTTGAAATTTGATGTTTGTGGTATAAATTGTAAATTCAATTATTTTCAGTTTTATACCACAACCATTCATCCCTAATTTTTTACTTAATTTGACCAGAAATTAGTTACAAAGATAATGCAGAAGAAATTCTGCAGAGCAAAATTAACTCTACTGTTCAAAATTCAACGTCTTTAATATTCTCTCAGTTTTTTGTGAAGCCAAAATTCTGTACACCAGTTGAGACGGAGGTAAACGCTATTTTAAATTTATGATCGGCGATGTGGGTGATTAAATCACCTGTGTCAGATTTTCAACAAAATTTTTCTATTGTATAAACCAGAATTTCTTATAGCTTTCTCTATTCCTATATTGAAAAAAAAACATGTTAAAGCATATCTCTGTTATAACCTCAAACGTGTTACAAAAACTTGTTTTTCATTATATATACTACTTTACTTATTGTCACTTTTACACGTTGTATTATTTTTGTCAGAGATGTTAAATTAATTCATGGCTTCACATATGAAAACATACAAATGATAGGACAGTCACACAGAAATTAGAAGCAGATAACATCTGGCTGAAGAATGTAAATGAAGGTTTTTAGAAAGAATGACATTTATGATGCGTAGAACAGTTTCATTTGACGGAACACAAAGTTATCGCTAACGTTATAGGGAGCTGATAAAACAATTTGGAGATGATCACTGTAACATGTCAATCAATCTTTAATACTTACCCTATTCAAAAAGTCTACAGTAACGTTAGAATACACATCTAAAACGAGTGTTAAACTGTCTAGACCAATTTTCTTTAAAGCCAAATCCACTACAGCAAAATTTAAAGCTCTATATTCCTCAATATACAAGGGATTTGGAGCTTCTGGTAGTCTTATAGATAACCATGCTATTTTGACATCGTCGTTCTTATATTTTGTTAGAGATGACGTAACAAAACTTTTCAAGTCTACATATGGATCCGTATTTCCTTTGCTGTCACTGTTGTATTGGTAAAATAATACTAACAACAGAAAAGTTTTTTCTTTCCTGTCCATAATGGTTGCAGAATAGTTTTTTAAAAATTCCATTGCCATCGCTGTTTCTGTGTCTTCAACGGGAAGGACAATATGAACTCTTGAATTTTCAGTGACGTAGGGGACTGAAATTAATTCGATGTTTCCAAGAGGTTTGCTAACCTCGAACCTAGAATAAATAAAAATAGTGAATGGAGCCATACTAAACAAACAAGATCATATTGCATATAAAAAAAAACGATATTAAAAATTATTTTACGAGAAATAAGTTTATTAATAACAGCTGCAAACTAAAATTAGTTAGATGTATAAGACTGTTACAAATTCATCACCATCCAGTCCCAATCATCCACTTCTGAATATTGGCCCCCACTTTTTCTAGTTTCCACCTCATCTGTCCTTCTTCTTTTGGTGGCTAGTCGTTTCGACTATTGGCGATCATTCTAGCTATAATAATTATTTTATTAACTGTTGCTTTAAATAGATTAGTTGTTGTGGAGAAACATTTCCTCTATTCCTTGCTCTCTCTATTTCCTAATTCCTCGCTTTCTGAATACTTTGCCTTGAAGGATTATTTTCAGTAATCTGTATTCAGTGCCGTTTCTCATTATGTGTCCGAGATATGCTAACTTTCTCCTTTTAATCGTATACATCACTTGTCTTTCTTTCCCCATTCTTTGTAGTACAGTCTCGTTGGTTATCTTGTTCGTTCATGATATCCTTAGGATTCTTCTGTCCTAAATCCTAAAAAACTCATACACTATACCACATTGCTATGCCGATAAATAGCTTTTAAACTGTATCTATCAACAGAATACAGCACAGCCTCAGCAGATCATAAACTATAGTTCTGCAGGGTGAACTCAAAAAAGTGAAACTTCTAACTAATTCACACTTGGTTTTGGAAAGCTTTTGAGAAAATTCAAGTTAAAGGCGTAACCAGTAAGCTTGATATTATTTTCACAATAGCAGCAGTTGTTTCCCCAGTAAGTTTCGTTTTGATGCATATGTTTCATGAACAAGAAATTTGAAGTTTTTTATAAAAGTACAAAAGTAAAAGTATGTTTTTTTGAAAATATGTACCTTTTTATTACTTCCTTTCCATTGCTTGAGTCCTTAAATTTTAAATCAACTGTATAATCCATTCCCCTACTTAAATCAAATATTTTATAACCATTAACAAGATCTACATATTCCAAAAGATTTGAATAGTTGTTGGCAGTTTTTAGTTTGATTTCCTCAATAATGTTCTAAAACAAAAAATTAGATTAGTATTTTGTACATATGATTTTTTTTACTAACAAAGAATATTGGTTTGTTATTGTTATTAAAAATAGACCTATATTAAATCTGACCATAAGAAGAATAATTATGTAATATATGGAATACCTCCTTCTACCTCTATCCAATTCTTTATGTATTATCTAATCGTCACTAAATATGTCCACAATTGGTGAACCACTAGTGCAGTAGTTTACTTGATAACTAATTTTAGGGTCTAAGCTCCAATTTTATCAACTGTATTTCTCAAAAACTTCATTTAACCTCTTAACTTAATATGTATAAAACAGGTACAAAATAGATTATTAACTAATAATCATATTTACCTTTAGATCCACTAACTCCTCACTAGTATGTTTCCTTAATGTTGTAAAATCATCTGAGAAAAATACATGAGATTGATTAAAATAACAATTTCTTGGCAAATCAAAACGAGTAGCTGCTTTTGCTCCTTGTCTTTGCCCTGGGGGCCATGTATCAATTAGAGGTTCTGATATCCGTTTAATTTCTTTATTTATCTTTGTTAACCTTCTCTGAAAATAAAATAAAATATTTTGCGTAACTCAGCATGACAAAATTATAAACAAAAATAAAAAGAATGATTATTATTTTTCATTTTGAAATAAAGTTTTTGAATTTGAAAACTTCCAGTGAATGAATGGATTTTATTTCGCGTTAAACGACGCGTTATTTCGAACTCATCGGCGTCCAACACTTGACAATTCAAAGTTGCAGAGAGAAAGAGGCAGAAACATTGTAGTACAATTCAAACTTGTATCAATGCGCCTTTGTTTTTGTTATGATTAATTTGACTACACATTTCTCACGAATTGGCTTGTTTAGTTATTAGTTACTGTTTGGTATACAGATTAAAATTTTGTTAGTCATGAGCCCCAGAAAGTATGAATGTTTAACGATTGCTGAAAATAACTTGCAGCTAACTGCAACTATCACGGTTCTGGTAGCTATTTTACTGATTGACAAGTCATGGTGAGGTGTAACACCCCTAACAATTCTCAACTGCTTCAACAAATCTGGTTTCTTAAAAGAAGATCTGGAAAATGTTTCAATACTTATGGATGATGAAGAACCAGCAATAGAACCATTAGTTGACATCAACGGTGTGAGGTTTTCTGACTTGTTTAAGTGGATTAAGATGTTGCTGTTTCAGGTTCACTAACTGATGGCGAAATTTTATCTGCGACAGACACAAATGAAAAAAGTAACGATGAAGATGAGTACAATACATCAGAACCTTTGGCAAAGGTGTCAGTTAAAGAAGCAAGATCCTCATTTGATACCTTACAAACCTTCTGTCTACAAAACGAAAGTGATGAAAAAGCATTTCAGACACTTTTCTCTTAAAAAAAATTATTTAGCAGTCTGAGCAGCAGCAATGTGCTTTGAAGCAAACCAATTAATACAGTTATTTTGAAAGATTGATTAATTCACGTTAAGAATACATACACGCATGTACACAATGCATCTTTTTTTCTTTTTGAAAAAAAAAAGAGATTTCTCTTTTTCTTTTTTTTTATTACTTAGCTTTATAAGAACAGTTCGTGTCAGAATGTCATAACAATTGTACACAGTATAAATATATAGTCTAAATAAATTAAATCATAAATTTAATAGCCATTACACTATCTTAAATTTGGCTTACATCCTCCCCTTGGTGTTTCCACTTTAGAAGTACTGAAGGAACTGATCCTTTCATACTTTGGTCTAAAATATTACTTACTCTAAGAAAATAAGCATTCAATAAATAAAAGTCTTCTTTTTGTAGCACTGGATATATGGTAATAGCTTTATTAAATTCTGCCTTTTCTGATAAATCTTTCAAGTAAGGAGCCAATTCAAATTGCTTGATCCTAAAAGAGTGAATTCTTTCCATTTGAATGTTCTGTTGGCAGTAAATTCCTAAACTGTGGAAGGCACATCTTCCAATGTTTTCACTAGGATCCTCTGAAACTGCATTCATGATACACCAATCCAGGTGGTTTCGCATTGCTTTTAGAACAGAATTGCTTAAAATTATACCTGCATCTAAAACAAAAGACTTGACATTAACTAACTATGAGAGTAAGTAAAGCTAAAAAAAAGTGAAATTTTATAGGTACAGTAGATTATGTTTGGAGTCAAACAAATTCTTCCAACCATTTTTTAATGTTTGCTCTTTCACCTCCTCGCATTCTGCAGAAAAATTAAAAAATGTTGATTTTAAATTGTAAGACCTTAAGTTTTGCATTCTACGCTGTCTTCTTGTATATTCTGCATTATCTCCATTGTGCAATACAACCATTAGTTTGTCTAAAAACTTTCTGCAATACATGGGTTAAATAAGTGATGTATTTTTTGGCAAAAACATACAGCTAAAGTTGCCATCTTCTGAACATAGAATATTTTCAGAGGAATGAGCAGGAGTGTTGTCTAAAAGCAATAAACATTTCACCTCTTCTGGCGGTATTTCCAATTATACTCCTCTTATGATACATTTTATTAAAATTTTTTGTAAAATAGTTTTACTGACCGGATTTTTTGTCTGTTATATCCAAAGTCCATTAAATAGAGGTCCTTTATATGGAGGTTTTACTGTATCTTGTTTTAACTACTAGTGTTTTCACAATCTTTAAACACTTCCTGTAAATGTCTGATTGTAAAGTGTATCTTTATTTATCACATATTCCTTTAATTATTTTATTTTTCAATATTATAGTACATATTTCATAGCATATCTCTGCTAGACTAATTAATCAGTGGATTTCTTACACTATTTTGTCTTAGTTCTTCTGGACAAGGTTTCTCTCCACTTAACACATTTCTCTGGATATCTAAGAAAAAGACGTAGAAATTGTTCCTGCGGGGAAAATAAGTACTGATTGTGAATTTTGTGAGAGAAAATATACATACCTAAATTACAATAGCTTCCATCTTTCACAGTTGACCCTAAGTAAACATCCATGCTAACACTAATTTTTTTGATAATATCCTTAAGTTCATAAGCATTGATGAATGTGAAATCGTTAGCAAAGAAAAAATAGTCATAATTTTGTCCAAATGTGTCAGCTACATACTTAATAACTTGGAAAGGTCTGAATTTATGCCTAGCATCTGTAAATCCTACTAGACCAGTTAAATTGTGTTTGGTCTTGAGCTTGTATTGAGCAGTTATAAAAAATTTGATTCGATCTACCAAATGACCAATTGTTCTATTTATATGAATAGCTTGAGTATTTATCTTTTCCTCTGAGGTAAATATACCAACAAACAGTTTCTCCCTTATTCCCAATTCTGTTGAATAGTATCTAGGTCTTACTAATTTGGGTTTATCTGGATTAGGACTTGTTTTTTTGGGTGGTTTAACTTCCAATTTGTTAACTGACGAGTTTATAATTTCTTGGGCCGTTTCATCTTTCATTAAGGGTTGTTTGGAACAAGTTAATTCTACACTATTAGATATTATAGTTGAAATGTAGAGTCCGATTATAATACCCAAAAATAGATAAACATTTTCGGAGAAACACTTTTTAATTCCTTTATGCATGTTTCTAGTCAAATTCTAATGTTTACATCGTTTTTTGATTAAATACCTAAAATAAAATTAAGAATAAATAAGAAAATAAACAAATAAGTTCTTCTTCTTTTAGAGTTGTTAATATTTCAGCTGTTGTAGCATAGGACGTTGAATTAAGGACTAGTGCAGGTGGACAATAATTAACAGTTTCTTTTATTCATACATTCTATAATTTTGTTTTGTTAATAATTTAGAAATATATTTTAAAGTTTCGTGAGATTTTCTCATCCTTATAATTTAATAGAATAAAGTTGCTGAATATGTTAACAAACGAAATATAGTAAGAGAAGAACAATGTGTCAAAATTGAAGGTTATTAAATACTAACCTTTAAACTTAACCAGCTGAGTTGTCAAATATAGAAAATATATTTACAATGACGAAACTTATGGAATGGCTCTCTGGAGCCGGTGTATTATTTGCTGTGTGGTTTTATTTAATAACAAATAAACCCAATAATTTTGTTAAAGAACAATATGATTTAATATTATATTCCCCAATTATATTTGTACTTCTGTTTGGGGTAAGTCAGCAACAGACAATGTTTTGTATGTTATTAACTATTTTCTTTTAGTTGTATGCGGCTACTGTTGTATTATACAGAGTGTACACTTTTAATGACTGTGAGAAAGCAGCTGCTGAATTACAAGAGGTAAGTTAACTATTTTGTAAACCTAATCAACTTCCTCTAGTCCTCTAATCACACAATGATATAGTTAAAATCTTCCTCTGGGGCACTATCTGATCAATTTTACTTTTTTGTGGTCTTTCTTTGGAAAGAATAAGCTATCCAATCTTATAATTATTGTGTTATTAGAAATCATTATAATTGTTTGATTTGTTCTAATAATAGGTATATTTGAAAACAACTATAAAATTTACTTTACAATTATTCATACAGATATTATTTTGTATATATTTTGCAGGAAATCAAAGAAGCAAAAGAAGAACTAAGCAGGCTAGGATTCAAATTCCAATCCAGTTAAATATCTTTACAATATTTTTTATATTTTAATAAATAAAAATCTAAATTATATTTTTGTATTAAAAGACTGAACAACTTTTATTTTCTTTTATTTAGACACTTCTTTGGCATATATTAACAAGATGTGAGACTTACATAATTGAAATTATAGAATTCACAAACAAGTACAATACGCAGAACGAACTATGGTCACCACCTAATTGTGCACAAAATTTCAAATCATTTAGAACCTTTGATTGTATTTTATTACTTATGCTTAAGGAGAGGTTCCTTGAAAAACCATGTTTTTTAAATAAATTTTATTTATACTACAGAAGATATTTGAAAATCAAACTTTTTACAGATGAAAGTACATACATTAAAATACTTAAAAAAAATGAAGGATTTGAAAATGACTTCCCAAACTCATCCGATTTGTTTGTGGATGTCATCATTTCTTGGAAATGAATTGGTGTTTGTTTTATTTTTTAAATAAAAAATGTCCTTTAGATCCAAGATTTAAAACGTTTGGATTTTCTGAAATAAATTCAGGTGATAATGCCAAACAATGTATTATAGCAGCAGTTTCAGAAAAATATTCAGAACTTTCGCAAAAAAAAATATTTCAGAAAAAGATTTATGTCCTGAAGTCTCAATGAACTCTCAATCTGGAGCTCTTTCCACAAGTCTGTGACAGTAACTCAACCTCAGGAACCATCAAATCTCGTACCATTATTGAGCTACAAAGATTTTTGAAGGATGAAATCCTCTAAACTGGTGGTGCGAACACAAATACCATATTCCCACTTTATAATAATAGCACAAGAAAAAATATGTGCTCTGGCTTCATCAGTACCTTATGAAAGTCTGTTTTCAAAAGCTGGGGAAGTACTAAATGAAAGAAGAAATAGACTCAGTGATAAGTAAACAAAAATGTTATTATTTTTAAATATGAATTACCAATATTGTGATAATATTGAATAATACCCTTACTTGTTTATATTGTACAGAATAATAGTACATAAAAAGCTAATGTTTCTCAAAATTTAAAATGCCAGTTGGATTTTTTTAGTATTGTACCTTAAAACAGTAAATTAAGTGATACAATCGAGATACAACCTGATATCGAGGCAAAAATTAGATCCAAATATATAAAATTAAAACTAATTTGCCCATACCACTTTCAAATTAAAAATGATAATGACTAACGGCTCGCAATATGACCCAAACATAATTAAAATTTCACATATTTTTGTATACTACAAGTTTATGTGGATTATTTTATTTTTATTTAATCATTTTTTGTTGTTTTAGAAATAAATAATTATTATTATTAACATTATTATCATAATAATAATCCTTCGCCATCACTGCTAATTTCGTAACTATAACATTTTCATTCTTAAATAAGATGCCTACAATAAGACTGATCATTCTTTCTATCTCAATAATGTACAACTTCGCTGCTAATATATATATATATATATATATATATATATATATATATATATATATATATATATATATATATATATATATATATATATCGCTATTAACTGTTATGTTATATATGAGATAGCAATAGCAGTGATTTAAAAATAGCAGTGCTATTGAAAAATAGCAACTTGACAAATTACTAGCCGGTACTACATTTTCACGAAAAAAAAACAAAATGGCGTGAACTTTTCAACTATTAATTGCTTTTAACAACTTCCAACTGTCACCTTTTTTAAATAAAAATACTTAAATATTTTGGTTGTAGCATCGACCATAGAGGGACATCTACGAAGTAAAATGCCGTTTGGTTCGTGTTGATAAGTGTAATAGTTTCGAAATACAAGTGACAACCAGTTGAAAAAACGTGGTTTCAAGAAAAGCTCATTAAAGTAAACAGCTGCTGTCATCCGGCTTGCTTGCATGGCTGGATTAACCACTTGGAGCGCTCTGCTCTATACTCTTATTTACCTACTTCAAGGTCGTATGGGCCTTCGGGACTAATTTTATACTATTCCTAAAAATCTAGCAATTTTTGAAAAAAAAATTTTTATATTTTTTTAAAATTGCTTTGAGAGGAAGCTGTGATAATTGTATCAGAATAGAGCCTCATTAAGGTAGTGGTGAGTTTAAAAGTAAGCTACATACATAAACATTTTAAATCCTCAAACTTCTGAGGTAATTGCCAATGTATTTCAATACATTGAGAAAGAAAAAAACTTCAGAGCAACTTAAAATTCCTTTGAAGAGTGTCCAAGATAGTTCAACTCTATTGGAAAAACTACAGGGAGTGAGAAAATGATCAAGGGAACCAATGTGCTTGTTTTTTTTGGCAAAGCTTCTTGATTTCTGTACATTTGTATCAATTAAATATATGAAATGAGTGATAAAATATAAAGGGAATAAGCAATAGTCTGTGATAGGTGCAATAGGATAAGGAGAGGATACATCTTTACTCTATGCTTTGGTTAATTTTATTTGCAGATGTTATATTGCCTATTTTTTGTGCTCTTAGGTTATAATATATATTTTCTATGATTTTAATATCCAGTGGTCCAGTTGTACATCTTTGTATATATCCATGCGGCAGTGCTTTATAATAAATAGGGCATTTCAGGTTCCTAGACTGTTATGGAAATATAAGTGTTACTTATATCCTTATTAATGATGTTCACATTTTTTGTGTGCTTGCTTACTTGCGATTCTTCTTGTTCGTTTGATGGGTATAACATTTATGTTTTGTATTTATATATTACATTAAATAGTTCAGTAATTACATATGTATTAATATTATTCAGTGCATATTATTTTTATTATTATGCACATTATATATTTTTAAATGTGTTTACCACTTTTTCTCTTGTTATTTTTGGGCCAATTTTGATTTTTTTTATAATATAATTGTACAAAATTTGAGGTGCACCTATTTTGGGATACAGAGATTCCATACTTAATATTTGCAATGTTGCCAGATTTGCCGTTTCTCTTATATTATTAGTAACTTTGGTTTTTCAAATTCATCACTCTGTATATTCAGACATTATTGGAATCTCCTATTCAATACGAGTTCATTCAATTCTACTTCGTCTAATCTGATCAAATAACGCCGAACATTTACACCAAAATGAGCTAAAACCCCCATCTTGCTGAAACCATATCTGATTAAAATTGGCCCCAAACAAGTTTCTCAATGTAGGTAAAATTTCATTTCTAAGTAACATTTCTTAACTATCTGACGTTAAATTTCCTTCGATAAAAAATGGCCCAATTAACTGAGTACCTACTCTACCTGAACATAGATTTAATTTTTGTGGTCTTTGAGTATGGTTTTCACGCTTCCAGTGTGGATTTATGTCACTCCAGTACCTTAAATTGTCTCGATTTACACTTACACACAGTGTAAAGGTTGCTTCATCGGAAAAACATTCTGTTAACGAAATTTTCATCATTTTCAATGGTATCCATCATTACCTCAGTAAACTCTAATCTAACATCGAAGTCATCTACCTGATCAGTATCTATCTTTTACTTCTCCAGATTCCTCAAATCGCTTTACAGTTTTTTGTACCGTCGCCTTATGAATAGGAGAACGGTTTGGGAAAGTATCATTGAACAAGTTGGCTACTTCACAATAAGATTTTTTTCTGTCGCCGTACCCTCTCATCATTAGAATAGCAATTAGTTATTTTTCGTTAAGAGCCATTTTAGAGAAGCAATTTATCTTGCAGAACTTTTCGAAACAACTACTGTCAGTTTTAGATAATAATGTAAATGGTGAACAAATGTCAAAATCACAGCATTCTACATTTAAATATTTAAATTGATTAAAATCTACATATTTTGCACTGTTTTATATATTTAAGACCTTCCAGACTACATATAATCATAAGTGTTACATAAATATGGTTGAACTCGTATTGAATAGGAGACTCCAATAGTGACTGAATATACAGGGTGATGCATTTGAAAAACCAAAGTTACTAATAATATAAGAGAAACGTCAAATCTGGCAAATAGGTGTACCTTAAATTTTGTGAAATTAAGACTAGCAATGTACATGGTAGTTTCCAGACTTTTGGGCCACTCTGTATATTCCTTCCATTGTTACCTGTTAGAGCATTACAAATATATACATTACGAAAATCACTTCCTCTTTATTGGTATTGTGCAATGAAGGCTAACTAAAAATTCACTAACAACAAAAAAAACAAAGTCTATCACTTGCAGTATATATTTCTGGAAATATAGTACATATATATTATTTTATTACAAATACTAAATATCGTTACCTTATAAACTTTGCCAAATCGGCTTATTCACAAAAGACACGGAACGAACATCATAAAAGCCTGAAACAGAAAAAAAGTTTCTTTGATATAGTTTTTGCAGGACATACTCTAATTTTGTACCTTTGTTGGGAGTAATACCACACTTTTTAGCAAAAACAATTTATTTAATATTATTTAATTCTATTCTCGCAATACATCACAAACAATCATCTTGTCGAGACGTTAATAAAATTCGAGCTACAGCATGCAAAATATCAAGATTAATCTTGAATTTTTTATGGATCCCATCTCATATCCACTAGGGATGTGTAGTTCACCATCGAAATAGTTCTAATGAACGATTCTTTCAACTGAACTAATTGAACGAGTTCATTAATTTTCATAGAACTAGTTCACTGCGAACGATTTGCATTATAAATTATGTCTCGACTTCTAAAGAAGAAAATAATGAATGAATGAATTAGAGCATAATATTTATTATTTTGTGAATGGATGGACTAACTAGTTTTAAAAAAATGCCGATTAGCCTCAGATAACAGATTCATAATTCTTATAAATGTGACAATACCATAAGGTCTTATCTTAATGTCATAATGGTTTGGATCTTATGCCCATGTATTGGCTTGGATGTTGCCATGCTGTGTTGTTTCTTGTATTGTAATTTTGAAATAAAAATTTTAGTTGTGGTTAAAATGATTGAGGCATTTACATAAAATATAATTTCATGTAAAAGCGAGAATGAAAATGTGTTATTTAATGTTCCTAGAAAATTCACTGATTTTTTTTTGTAAAGGTTCTTTTAGAAATAACCTAATTA